GGGCCTAGTAGCAAAATCTAGGCCCTGGTCTGGTGTCCCACCGACCGCACGATCACCGAGTGATCGTGTGGTGGGTGGCAGCTGCTAGACCACCTAAATCCTAGGTGGTCTACCTTTTAAAGGTAGACCTCCTAGCAGGTAGGTGGTCTCTTCATCGCACAATCACCGAGTGATTGTGCGATGAAGGCTGGGGCCTAGTAGCAAAATCTAGGCCCTGGTCTGGTGTTCCACCGACCGCACAATCACCAAGTGATTGTGCGGTGGGTGGCAGCTGGCTAGACCACCTAAATCCTAGGTGGTCTACCTTTTAAAGGTAGAGAACCTAGCAGTTAGGTGGCCAGGTCAGTTCCTGGACCACCTAGTAGCCAGATCTAGGCCCCGGTCTGGTGTTCCTCCACCGTACGATCACCGAGTGATCGTGCGGTGGGTGGCAGCTGCTTGACCACCTAAATCCTAGGTGGTCTACCTTTTAAAGGTAGACCACCTAGCAGGTAGGTGGTCTCTTCATCGCACAATCACTCGGTGATCGTGCGATGAAGGCTGGGGCCAAGAAATCACGTCTGGGCCCCAGTAGTGCCTATTTTCCCAATCGAATTCAAGCTCCTTATCGATATCCTTCCTGATCTTGATATTTAGAGAACCTATTTTTCCTTGCCTTTCATTCCTCCAAGTCTTCACTCACTCGCAATCAATTGAGCTTAAGGCAAATCCCAAATGCCACATTGATTGAATTTCCAATTTTTGAATTTAGGTTGGTTTTATATCAAAGTAAGTGGATTTCATTTTGATTATTCTTCTTGGAACTTCTTAATTCTTAATTCTTGAACGTTTGGACGATAAATTCTGAAGTAAGACTAAAGTAAAATGATATCTCTTTTCTTTTCTTTTAGTCATTGTTATCAAATAAAGTCTTACAACCTCAGAGTGGAAGTTACGAACCTGTGCGTTAGCAACATATTTTGATCTCATCCTTCACCCAAAAAATAATGAAGTGACTTTTTTGAAAAATACAATCGTAGACAAGGCTAGTAGTAGTCGATCAAAAATGTAAGTTTTATTTTCACCAAGCTTCATCCCTCAATATAATACCTCATTGAAAAACCAATTCCACATCTCATTGATTTTTTTTTGGTTTACTTTACAGTTGGAGATGATGCAGTTCTACAACTATGGAAACATGAAAATGGGTATATAATTAATAGAGCTACTAACCTTTGTTTAGATTATGAACATGGAAATTATAAACAATTAGGATATGTAATACCTTTTGTTTTTCCTTTTCAACTTTACTTCTTTTATAATCACTGATGAGTTTCTTATGATCATATTTTTGGGACGGTTCATGTTTTTAGTGCTATACATAGTAAGCCTTCCATCCCGTAAAATAAAAATATCATGTTCATTACAATCATTTATATTTTGCTTACCTTGGATTTGGTTACAATATTTGAACTTTAACTACATTATCATAGTCTGTCAATGGCATAGAAAAGTAGGAAAAGATGCACACAATCAAGTAAGCAATCAGAATTTCTAAACTGTTAACCAAGCTTTCCTACAAAACCTAAACAACTCGTCAATTTTTTCTTTACTTAGAAATGGCTTTATCGTACTCATAATTTAATTGCATGTGTAGACGACATCAACCGAGTCTTAGACATCAAAGTAAGTACAAAGAGAATCATGTATCGTCGATTTTTGTGTCAATCATCTTACTTAATCTTGTCGGCCGTTCTAGAGTCCATAAATGGTTTGACCAATCTCTAAAAACCCCAAAAAAGCCACAGCACATTGATGAAGACGGCTCTACCAAGTCCTGTGTGAAAGATCAAATATCAATTCAAACAGTTGAAATCTTGTCATCAATTTTTCAAATGTCAGAGAATACATGAAAACTCATGTTCACAATAATAAGTTTGAAGGATGTTTAAAACTTGTTTCGCTTGACCTAGTGTAGTAGCTATGATTTCAAAGAGATGAGAGTCAGTGGATTAGAAATAAAGTCACATAAGAATAAAAATACTAACATTGACCAGATGCATTAGGGACTTTAGATGAACCAAAGTCAATGAGTAAAGTAAGTGCCTCTACACCAGGTGGCATCAAATCAATAGTCCTTTCAAGACACCAGACAACAAATTTAATTTGTTTGAAGGCAAATCAAGAGTCTCAATCATCAAATTGTCAAGGAATTCTGGACACACTCAGAAAGCTACTAAGATATTTTATGCTGAGGCGGACAAAAGCAAGCGACCTACAAGATTTACCTCCTATATACCATGAGACCATTTTATTGGATATACATCCCCAATTCAAACAAGTATATCAGCAACATTACCAAAGATTTATTCAGGAATTCGGTAGGGACTCTCAAATCCAACATAAATGATTTGATGAGGATTGCAGAAGATTGAGGACAGTCAAAGAAGATTAAGGGCGGTGGACAAAGAATACAAACAAAGAAGAAGATTGAGGATGGTTGACAACAAAACTAGAAGATCAAGGATGGTTGACAAAGAAAGAAGAAGATTGAGGATGGATGACAAAGATTGAAGAAGATCAAGGATGGTTGACAAAGATTGAGGAAGATCGAGGACGGTTGACAAAGATTGAGGAAGACCAAGGACGGTTGACAAAGAAAAAAGAAGATCGAGGACAGTTGACAAAGATTGAGGAAGATCAAGGACGGTTGACAAAGATTGAGGAAGATCAAGGACGGTTGACAAAGATTGAGGAAGATCGAAGACAATCAAAGAGGATTGATGATGATGAAAGAGGTTTTGGAGGAGAGCAAAACAGGAAGCAGGTACTTTGAAGCTCTTGAGACAGATGGTAGAATGTCTCTGGTTGGAGCTGTTGATACCTGTGAGACCGAGCTTGTAGCTAGTTGGCCAAAATGTGGCTTTTGGCTGCAGTAGAATCTAACATTGGTGTTTGAATTGTACAGTTTGAGAAATGTATTTTTTGGTTTTTGGTTTTTGATTTTTGGTTTTTTGATTTTTTGGTTTTTGGTGTTGCTGGTACTTTTTGTCGAAAGGTGACAATGCAATGAAAACGGTGTTGACTACTGGAAATTTGGGCAAAAAGGGGTTTCTGCCATGACTTTTACCCCAGTACAGGGGTTTTATCCCTGTATTTGAGTATTTTCTGTAGTTTTGTCTTTGATTTTTGAATTTTGCACCCGGGAATTGTGATTTTTGATTTTTGAAATTTCGCATTGTCACTTTGGAACGTCTCGCATTCCGTATTTTTTCAATCCAAGAGAAGACAAATGAGTTGGTTTTTTCAAGTTTGAAGAAAACCCATAATTCTGGACTTCAGCGGCTTTGAGTGATGTCGTACCAAACACACTTTGCTTGGGTACACGCCTTGAGGCAGACGTGGTCTGCCTGCAGATCGTCAGGTAGATGCCTCACCAGTCTACGCCTGCGAGGTTGGAGGCAACCGAACGGACTTTTACTCCCTGGTAACCTTTAAGTATCTCTCCTAGTTTTCCTCTCCCAAGTTTTCTCTCTTTTCTGCTCATATATTCCTCTTCTCAAGTTCAAAACACACTGGCAAGCATGAATGCATATAGAGCAAGAAAATAGCGGATCTTTCTTAAAGCTCTACAAGAAACAGCAAAGAACTCTAGAAAAGAACTTGGAAAAGGAGAAGAAAGAAAGACTACAAAAAGCGGAAAAAGAAAACAAAAGGAAGAAACAGCAGGAAGAAAGAGCTAGAAGAGCGGCTTCAAGGATACCAATCTCACCACTCAATAAAAACCTGGAAATGTCAAAATTGAACACAGTGATTGAGGAATCAAAAGAATCGGTCGGTATCAATGGAGATCAAATTGAAGGAGGCATAGAGGAAACAGGGGGAGGAATGGAAAGCACCTCAGCACATTTCAATGGAACCAAAGACCCGTCTGCATGCCAGAATCTAGATTGACCGCCAAATCTACGAGTCCAAATAAAACGGTCAGACTTGACGTCTACCTTGGAGTATCTAGTGGAGGATAAAAAAGAGGTGAACATGGAGGGCTTTATGGAAAGAAACAACTGTAAGTGTGATTACTTACACCTCCGTAAATCCGCCCAAATCCCCCCATCCCAATCATGATGACAAGTACCACAAATCCTCCAGAAATATACCAATTCTGTCAAGTGTGTGGTCAAAGGTTACAGCCCTTCTCATCACATAAATGATCAAAGGTTTTGATCCTTCTCATACATCAATGATGAAAGCCCTCAAAAGGAAAACTCCAGCCAAAGCACCTCTGGCTACTAGACTCCTGGGATATCATCCGGAGGAAAATGAGACGTATTGGTCGGACTCTATCCGTATCTCACTGCCAGACGCACATACGCGTGCGTCATGTCATTTCGCGTCTGATTTCCATATCCATCCACGCAGAGTCCGACATCCAGACGTGTCCTGGCCTCAGACGTGTCTATGAGGCTAGCCAGACCTGTCTGGCCTCCAAACCCAGTGGTCTTACCAGTCTTTGAGGCCTTCTACGACCGATTGTACAAATGTAATTCCCTTATCTCCCACTCTTTCATTAACTTTATCAACAACGGCCTATCAAGACCAAATCATTTTGAATTCTGAATCAAAACCAAGGACTCAATCATCAATATCAAGCAAACCCTTGTTTTTTAACTCATTTCGACAAATCGAATCGCAAAGACATTTCAACCAATCGAACCGCAAAGACAACTATGTACAGGCACCTATAGACAAATCATGATGAGTCAACCTCAATCAACACAATCAACCTAAACGCAAAAACACACATTTTATACAACTATTTACATATCTGTCTCTCATCAAAATGATCAAATTCATAACTCAATTTAAAGATCATCAGCAAATGGGTCGTCCCCACCTCCATCAGGCTCTTCCACCTCAAACCCAAACTCATCAGCCTCAAACACCTCGACCTCATCCCGTGGCAGCCTCAATTCCTCCTCTTCCTCCCCCCACATTAGCATCCTATGCTCCAGCATCTCCTGATCATCCAGCGCCTCGGCTTGAAGACTACGTGCGTTCACATTAACCTCCCACTCCCTTTGGCACTTCTCAATCAGCCTGTCCCAATCACGTGCTAATGAATTGTTGAATTCAGAAGTCGAGCTCGAGTACGGCGCTGTTTCTCTTAGCAAACCGAGCATGTGTACATTCCATGACATCCAGTCTCGACTGTGAAGCTGGCGAAGATTTATCTCTGCTGCCTTCAAAACGGTTCGACTTTAATTCCATACATCTTTTGCTTGTCGACCCCCAGGCTGAACCAAATCGATTGGACTTTCTATTCCATGACATTCTGGGTCCCATTCTGTAATTACAAGTTGTAACGTAATTCATCAAATCAGTCGCAGACCTGTACCACTTCATTATGTTATGTGCACAAATGATACAACTTACCTTTGGTAGATAAAGTAGAAATACAATCAAAGCTCTGGTCCGTTTTGAGGGCATATAGCATCATTTGGCGGATCTCCCTGCTGATGCGGCGGAGCTCTTCAGAACAACTTCGCTGTTCTAAAAAGGCTTGAATACCTTCTATAGTGCCTTGGTCAACAGCCCAAGCCTCCGCTGGATGTGAGAGTGACCCCATGCTCCAGAATTCATCCTCAATTGACAACTCCTTTGTCTCTCCGAACGAAGGACACAGTAAGTAACTGACAGGCAAGATTGCATTATACTTTGACACTTGTAATTTGAATGAATCATACTTCTTCTTGAATAAGTTATGTTTGTTTCTCATGAACTGCTTGAGACTCTGTTGTACGCGAGTGCCTAACAACATCCAAATGCATTTGAAACATCACTCTGAATTGATTCAAAAATAACAAACTCGTAATCGAAAGGTAGAAGTTATGTACCTTGGCCATGCTTGTCCCATCGTCTTTGAGCCTCTAAAATCCCCACCTTGGCTTCATACAGCCTCTGCTTTGCCATACGAACTCGGATGAGCGCCCGAGCCTTAGCATCTACCAGATCGTACAGTGCATGAGACTTTTGAAGGGAAATACAAAAGGCAAAACTTGTACTTACTGGTGGCTGCTTTGAGAGTGCGAAACTCTTCGCTTCCTAAATCAGCCACCATGGTTGCGATTGCCTCTTCAAATGCTACAATTGAACCTGGCAGAGTGAGTGCCTGCTCTCGTTCCGATTCAGTTGTATTCGGATCACGAGTGTTCCTCAGACTTGCAAGTTTCACACTGTTTCCAATTGTACATATATCAGCTTGGTACAGCTTCGTACTGAAAGTGAGGAGGGAAGATGCAATTCACTGTGATTCTTGCAACTTCTCCTCAAGATCAAGCAAATGAACTAATCGCTCCTCAAATTTGAGACGACTCTCGTCTGCCATGGCGGCCAGTTGCAGAGCTCTCTGTCTGGCCCACTGAGCGGCAAAATAGTCCTGAGTGTAGCGTGGATCGGACTGCAACAAATCGTTTAATGTCTTAGTAGCTTTTAAGCTACGTTCCCTAGCATGCGTCAATTTCTCTCGAGCGGAACCAACTAATTATACACACAATACAATGCATCAGCTAAAAGTGTGATGTGGTAAGTACAAAGAGACTGACTTGACTCTCACCTGCATTACCGCGCAAAAGACTGTTTCGATGCTTCAATCGGAGATGTAAGGTGATCAATCGATGCTGTTTTGTTGAGTACCTATTTGGCATAACCAACGGAGACAAAAAAGACCAGTCACGCTCAAGACCCTCGCCATCCGAGAGTCCCCAGCCCTTGTTGAGGCGAGGGTTATATTCCAATTGACACGACCACCTGTGCACATATGAGTGGAATACACTCGTGCCAAATTTCAGCTGCTCGTTTCGGAACAGTGCATTCTAAGTTGAGACCTTCTGTCAGTAACAAGTAAGATAAATACAAAAGATACTGGCTGATTCAAAAATACCTTCTTGAGACTCTTCTCCAAAGTACAGCCAATATCATACAATATACCAAGCCGCTTTGGGCGGTCTACTTCGGATTGTCCCGCTACAAATCCTAAGATTTCATCGAGGAGGGCAAGAACATAATACTGCCTGTAATTGTCAAACACGAGTATTTATTAATGAACATTCATCAATGATAAAAACAAGTGTGTACTTGCTTTTCACCGCTTTGTACAACGTTCACAAACCGCAGGATATGATCGTGGCGGCAACCCATACCAATCAGGCCGGTTTCGTTGCAGGCTTTCCAAGTGGTACCTGCTCGGTGATCTGCAGCAGCTGTGTGCTGTGCACTGCACGGATCCTGTTTCAAAATGTACTCTGAAGTTAGAATGATACAGTCAAAACTTATTAACCTAGATACGACTCACTGAAGCAACTGATTTCTTATTGGTTTCGGTTGGTGCCCACTTCTCTACTTTGGCAGGTTTCATGAATAAAGGTGGATATGCCGGTTTGCGTTTGTCGGACTCACGACTTGCTGCTTTGTGTCTTCGATGTTGAAAGTTACCATCGAAGCATATTATGTAGTCAGGTTCATCCTGCTCATTATTATCCTGGAGAGGACCAAAGCATCGGGGGCAGTTGGAAGCCAGCTTGTCCAAATGCGAGAGGTCCAGTGCCAAGTCACAAAGCTCGTCCTCCATTAGCAACATGTGTCGATAAACATCAACAGCGGCAGATAGGGTTTTTCGCCAGAGCCGGGGCTACAACTCATATGTAGTATATACATATGGTCAGGTTTGAGTTTCAAGTTTGTAGGAATAAGGCCAAGGAAATGACTGACCTGAGTTGTTCCGGCCACAAGAATAAGAGGGCTACTGGCATCTAGAAAGGTGTCTAGTCCCAATGCAAACCCTTGCATGCGAATGCTGCACTGTTCCCACAGTGTGTGGTGGAATCGAAGAAGCCAAATGGAAAACGCGGTTTGAGGATGAACCGGTGATCCCCCAACGTATCCCATTCGGATCAGCCTCACTTGGTCACTGGTGCATTGGCAAAACTTGATCTCTTTCTCGTCACGAGCTATGTACAGTATCCGTACATTCAAATTAATGCTGGCTGATATTTAATTTGACAATAAATCATGAGACTCACAGAGAATATCCACTAGGTCGACTGATCGTGTTGTACGATCTCCAACACCACAAGCACAAGTGTCATTAAAATCTTCATTCCAATTTTGAAGATCACCCCATCGTGCGGTCCTTGACGACTGGGTCATGAAAGCCACAAACATTGGGCCAAGTACCTTCTTCCACCGAAGGTGCTCAAGCAGCTGCTTGGATTGGTAATAAGTTCCCCTGATGTACTCTCCAAAGGACACGTGAAATCCTCCAACCAATGGAGGAGTAGGTTCTCGAGGTTCGCTATCTTCAGACGGAGACGACGGTGTTTCAAAACGGTATATATACGACATGGCATCTGCCTCATTGTTCTTGGATTCGGAAGTTTGATCGTGATCAGGGCCACCTGTGTTTGGATCGACCGGATTGTTCTGGTTTGCATGCCGGTTCGCGGTAAGAGCATTATGAAGATTTTCCGCGTTCTGAAGTGCTGTTCGAGATTCCACAGCCGCAAGATCATTAGCAACTCTCTGAGAAGGGCCAACATCTGCTCCTCGTGCCCGTGGCCGCTTGGTTTGAGGACCAAGTGGGCACTTGATGACTCGACCTTTTCCCATTTTAGATACTTATTCTTCAAGCCGATAAAATGAGACAAACAATGAAGACCAAGGTGAGTTGTTGAACTGAATCAAAAAAATTAGGATTGCCTCTTGCACGAGGAACGACATGCTAGAAATGTCCATGTGTAAGTAACGTCATGTGAGAAGAAGTAACCAAAGGGGAAGATTTCCAATAAGTTACAAATCCGGAAGGACCACAGACTCTCGCATGGTGAGAGATCCTCTGAGCCTAACATCATATGGATGGTATAGGCTCGGGCTTGAAACTCTTCCCCCCTCTCTAACACTTTCTGAATTGTTAGACTTCTCAGTAGAACTAACATATCATTTCTACCTATCTGTTTACTCTTGTCTGATTGAACACATCTTATTACTGTAGCTAACTATTACCTTTATTATTTTCATGACTTTATTCTATCTTTCAACTCACTACTTACTTTAGTCTTTCAACTCACTACATACTTTAAACGCTAGACACAGAAGAAGGAACTCACCGAATTAAGAAGACCTTCTTTAGACGCGTAAACCATCATCAGAAACTCAGAAGACAAGAAGATCTACGAAGTCCAAATACATACAGTACATTACAGATGACGAACGCCGAGACTGCCAAAGCGAAGGCAATTAGAGCTAGTAGAAGAGTTCAAGGTTTGGACGCAGATCAACCTCCAGAACAATCAGGTTCAACAGACACGACCAGAGTGAACGCAGAACCAGACAACCCTCCAGTTGCAGCAACTCAACTTGCAATTGTCAGACACCCAGAACCAGAAATCCCGACCGACCAAGTAGATAGAAACGTCGACTATATAAATGATGAAGACGAAACCGAGGCTATAACAACTTCCAACTCTCAAAACAAAGGAAAATCGGTACCGAAAACCAACCAACACTTCATAGCCCGCGTACCAATTCCCTACCCGGTTGGACCTATCAGAGAACCACAATTAGAACAGCAAGACTCCTCTTCAGATCATGATGATCCAAACAACGACTTCCTAGACGATGAATCGGAAAGCGACTCTCAAAAGGAATCACCAGAAAACGCGTCATCAGAAAGCGAACCAAAGGGAAAAATCTCCTCAGCATCACTAGGATCATCAAATGAAGAAGGTTCCGATAGCTCAGACTCAAGCTCATCCTCGAGCAGCGAAGAAACCAAAAGTGAAAGCGACTCATCCAGCGAAGAGTCTGACGACTCTGATCACAAGTCGAAGAAAGGTAAGGATACCAACTTATACCCACATATCACAGCTACATTTCCACTTCAGACATGATTTCCACGTGATTTCCTACACCCTTCTCCAACCCCTAAAATCCCCCATGAAAATATTCCAAACTAGGAATATTCAAAATCTCATGTCCACCCACACTTCACACTTATCTTAATAAACAGCTCCCATAGATTGAGCGCCTCTCAAATAGAGGGAAGAGAGTATCCAAAAAATGGACTCTATCCATAAATTCCTGACTTGTCAGAAGACCGCTAGAAAGCGAAGACTACTTGATCCTCGTAGTGATAGAAATACAGAACGAGACGCTCCTTTTCATACCCTTGATTATACTTCTCTTCTTTCATCTGGAATTCTCTCCTTTCATCTGGACTTCTCTTCTTTAATATTCTTAATACCTATTTCAGTTATAACTGAAAATCAATGAAAAAAGTGCACAATGACTGACTAGATAAAAAGAGAAAGAAGATGTCGAAAGTCAAGAAACAGCTTAAAGAGGCAAAAGACGAAATAAGACAATTAGGAAAGATAGCACAAGGGAAACCTGCAAAGAAGCTTAAGAAAGGAAAGAAGAAATCCAAATCGTCAGGAAAGAAGAAACAAAAGAAGGGAAGAGGAATTCAGGTAGAGATAGGCGCAATTCCAAATTCAAACCTAGTCCAACTACAACCATTCAGGAGAAAACAGATGAAAAAGTTACATTCGTCAATCCCTCTTACGGTCTTTAATCAATCTTTCGCCTTAGCAGACAGCGAAGAGTATGACAGACAACATCACTCGTCGTCATCCAAAACGACGAAGAACAAAGGCCTTGATGCACCGTCCGAATACAAGATGAGCTATGGAGATTGGACTGAAAACATAAGCCTCTTCAAACAATATTTAATCATGCACAAACACCCCGAAGTGGCAGAAAGGATCAACTATCATATTAAGAACGTAAAACAGATAAAGTAAGATTCCTCAAAATCATCCTACAAATGGATGAAACAGAAGCTGACAAACGAATTTGCATAGACGCTCGACCGAGTGCTGGATGACTGCCCTACGGTACGACATCTTATGTCGAAAAGGTGTTTTCGTCGAAAGGGAGGATAAGCATCCCATAAAAGATATAGGTTCCTTTATGAAGAAGTATGAAGAGAAGGCAAAAGATAAGTCACTAAACTTTGGAGAGACGAACGGAGGAGAGTCAAATCCTTACGCAAAAGGGGGGAAATTAGAATTCAAACACCCGGAGACCGGACAACCTATAAACCAAACGTCCAGTCAACATCAAACGGCTCAGACACAAAACCACCCAATCGCGTCAAGCTCTAGAGACAACACCTTCAGAGGAAGACGAAGAGCAATCAGAACTCCTAGACCACAACCGTATCAACAGCATCATAACCCGTTCACAAACTACAACAACAACAATACAATAAACCCCTACTTAAGCCCTTACCAGCACTTTCCTACGTTTCATCAAACCCCGTTACCCACGAGCCACTTAAGCTCCCATAACCAACATCCAACAAACAGTACGTCCAAAGGAGACACTCAGACAGGCAATGCGAATAACATGGGTAGTGGCTTCATAGCAAATAGAGGGGGAAGAGGCTCTTGGAGAGGCGGTAGGGGAGGAGCAGGAAGACAAGGTCAACAAGAAACGTGAGTATACTACCAGAAATCGTATATCACATCTTACGAAACCCACAGCCAGTTGATGGCGCGACTTGTAACCTGTCAAGTTGAAATCACTTATATTGTTCTATCATTAAATCACTACCCCTAATATATATTGTATCTTCTTTCTAAGAAGTTGTTTCACATATCTCTATCATTTCTGTCAAATTTCCCTTTCTATCTAAATTCCATATGTTGTGATCTGAGTAGTTCAGAAGAATTGAAATTAATATTGTCTGAATCTTTTTGAAAATTTAATGGGTTGAGAAGACATCTTCCAATTCAACAAACGACATCTAGGATCCAAAAATTCCCAAGAGAGGAAGAAGCGGAAAGTGACGAGGTCAGAGAGATCCTTACGGAACCAAAGGAAGCGAGTTGGCCATCGACCGCAAGGTGCGAAATGGACATCGAGAAGTGGAAGTACGAGCTAGGGAGACACAACCTTTTACCCTTCTATGATTTCGTAGTAGAAGGATTCCAGTTGGGATTCGATCAAGGTATACCAAAACACACCATCGAAGGCATGGATTATTTCTGCCCACCAAACCATAAATCGGCATTATTAGCGAAGGAGAAAATAATCAGTAGTTTAGATGAAGAAATCAGAGCAGGACGAATACTAGGACCGTTCTCAAAAGAGGAAGTTAGCAGTCATTTCAAGTTTTTCAGATCAAGCCCGATGGGGGCTGTAATCAATGGCGATGGGTCTTTCAGACCCATCAACGACTTATCCTTTCCCAAGTACGACCCAAGCATACCGAGCGTCAACTCTTTTGTAAATAAAGAAGATTTTCGGACTACGTGGGATAACTTCTATAAAGTGTACACGTTTATAGCTAATTCAGAACACAAGCTACTGATAGCACTGTTTGACTGGCTCAAGGCATACCGACAAATCCCTACAAGACCAGATCAATGGCCTTATCTAATGTTGTGCGACTTCGAAGGTTTTCTCTACCTTGACATGTTTATCTCATTCGGAGGAGTGTCAGGATGTGGTAGCTTCGGCGGCCCTGCAGATGCCTGGAAAGAACTAATCAAAGCAGAGTCCGACCTGGAGGAGTCTTTCAGGTGGGTAGACGACAATCTACTCATCAAAAAGAAAGGAACGACAACACACATGGACGAGATAGTAAGCTACAGCGCGAAATTAGGTGTGAAAACAAACGAAACGAAATTCTCCCACTTTGGAGAAGAACAAAAGTACATTGGCTTTCTTTGGAACACGAAAAACAAAACAGTTGAATTACCCAAAGGAAAACTGGAGAAGCGAATTGAACAACTAGAAGGATTTTTAAAGAAGGTAGATTTCACACACAAAGACGTCCAGAAAATGAACGGGAGATTAAATCACATAGCTAATATCACACCACATTTACGATGTTTTTTGACGAATAACTTCCGATGGCTCATGGAGTGGCACAATTTAGCTGCTAAGAGGAAGATGCCAAAAGATGTAAGGGAAGACATGAACGTATGGTCGAAGGCACTGTCCAAAATACCTCGACGACACCTAATGAAAACACGAGCAATAAACAATATCGGTTGGGTAGGCGATGCCTCCACAACATTTGGGATAGGTGTGATAGTAGGAAAGGCGTGGGGCCAGTTCCAACTAAAAACAGGCTGGGAAGACCCAGAAGGGAAACCAAGAAGAGGCATTTCTTGGCTGGAAACAGTCGCAATACATCTGGGATTCCTAATGGTAAAAAAGCTGCGAGAGACCCAGGGAGAAAGGTTCCTAGTTTTAACAGATAATACGACGACTGAAGGAGTGTTGAGAAAGGAGAGGTCAAGGGATTATTGGGTCAACGAAGAGTGGAAGTGCATCTCAGAACTACTCTTCTATTCAGACTGTCAACTAGAACAACGAAGGGTATGCTCAGCGGACAACGCGGCAGACTTACTTTCGAGAGGCCTCCCGACGGGAAAGGCAAGGTTCCGACAAGTTCACATTGAGATACCGGCCGATCTCTCCAGATGGCTGACAGACGTGACGAGGGATCAGACGAAAGAAGTAAGTCTTACAATCGGAATGACAAGTGATCCAGTTAACTGACATCTTCCCACGAAACTCTCCGAAGAAGGAATGACGTAAACGTGAGATGAACGAACCAGGAGAAGTTCGCCCAAAGAGGAGTCTTTCTCACGAGTCTTCGAAACTCAACCATTCCAAAAACATCAGAAGGAAACGGACGACTTTTTGACCCACCAGGGAAAGGAAAATACGAAGTCAATTAAACTCAACACTATCCTACTCGAAAGAACTCTAATTTGACCTCCACACATACTATTCCAGGCGACGCCCCTCGTTTCAAGTTATCCCTTTCCGCTTTCAAAACCCATCCACATCCTGATTGTTGTAAAAACCTGATCCCCACCACGCACACTTGTCCAAAACACCCCTTTTTTTTTCGGGTAATCCCTCTCTTGTCAAGACAACTCATCGGTATCCCTAATATTGTGTCAACCTAATCCCCTCTTAGGAACACTTGAACGAACACAGCCCAGGTGTCGGTGAGTGGGAGTTAAGACAAAAAGAGAATTGTATCTTACCTAACGATTGCATTTCACGACAGCACATCAGAAATGAAAGACATTACTTCTTTCCTTCGAATCGACAACGCCGTGCCACTGAAACTAAACCGGGCACAACGACACATGATGAGGGCAGCATGGAACAAATCAACGATAGAGTCTTATGCGTCAGGAGTCTCAAAATTCAAGAAATTTACAAAGGAGAAGAATCTGAAGACTTTCCCAGCAACCAGCGATGTAGTGGAGCTTTTTATCGTCTGGGCTGGAGAGAACGGAAATAACGCAAGCACAAACAAGCCAATCAAAGTGAAAACCATCAGGAAATACTTAACGGCCCTTCGCACCTGGCATGCGTTCCACGGGCATTACTTCCCCGACATTCAATTAACTCGACTTAAGTCCATTCTACGAGCTTCAGAAAGGCTATAAGCGAGAGCACCGGCCCTCAAAAAGAACCAAGAGCCAGTTACTCCAAAAGCACTGATAATGCTAATCGGCGACATAGCTGAAAAAGAACACGACCCACTTGGACTAACCGCCCTCACAGTAACCGCCTATTGGGGTCTTGCTCGACTAGGAGAACTAGTATACAAACAAGAGGCATATGACAAATATGACCTCACGGCGATCCTTCGAGCGGACCTAACCTTCCATAAATCTGAAGGCACAACGATAGCAGTCATAGGGTTGCGCGAAACCAAGACTGCAATGCCGGGAGAAGTCCAGTACATCACGCTACGAGCAACCGGCGGCGTCCTTTGTCCCGTGGAGGCGCTACGAAACCTCAGCGACGCGTTATTTTGGGAAGACTCCGATCCTCGCCTGTTCCTGACAAGGACCCCCACCGGACTCAAGGCGATCACACGCCAAGCCGTGTTGAAAGCCATGACAAGAGCTTGGGGGATAAGCTCTAGAATGACCGGGCATTCTTTTCGTATAGGTGGTGCAACCTTACTAACGAGGGCGGGTGTGTCAACAGAGGCTATCAAAGAATTGGGGAGGTGGAAGTCCTCTTGCCACGCCTTATACCAACGTTCTTGGAACGACCAGGAGTGGTCGACAGCTCAGCGCGCGCTACAAATCTCAGAGGATACGATACCTTGTTTCAAAACCAAATACGACTTGTCGGTTTTCACTTGGGAGAGACACCTTTTACTCGACGACCCACCAGCAGACTGGTTGAGAAGAAACACCATTCAAAGTAAACGTCCTCCCATCTCAGCAGAATGAGACTACTACATCCTGAAGCGTCACACGCACCTCTTTTCGGCTACTAACACATACCTTCGGTCTAAACCCGCTTAGCCATACTTAATGTCGTTTCAATTTCCTACTATACTATACCTGAAATACAGGATCAAGGTCCAACGAGTTACAGCGACAGGATAGGGGAAAGCCCACTAGGCTCAGGCCTGTCACGGTCCAGAGAATGGGAGCATGGCCTTTCCCCAGAGCACCCAAAAACACCTCCGATACACAAAGAGAGTAATCTATTGAGAACTCTCTGAGGTATGTCTCTCGCGCCCCTCTGACGCGTTGAGGCCTCTAGGTAACAGTTCACAATAGTTGAACTCTCTACCTAGCCGCGCCGAAATTCCCGTTGTAATTATCTTTGCCTCACCTAGGCTAACCCTAGGCAAGGTAAAGAATTGACCTTTGTAATGAAACAAGAATAAGATGTTATACAAGATAAATGGATGGGATAAAGAATATCTCGAAAGGAAGTTTGTTCAATGATAGATTAGAAGGAAGTTGAGAGAGACAGAAAACAAAGGATCACATAACTAGCCATGCTTTTGTGAATAGAGGAACCCATTAAGAAATGATGTAATCATTCTTACATCATTCATTGAGATAATCAACTCTCCTTCAGGCACAAATGCTTGTTTAGTGCAATCTTGAAAATTAATCAACCATCCATCTACCCCTGCATCTGCAGGTAAGTGACTATGATAATGAATATTAAACTTCTTCATTTGGATTTTGATTCCCTTTTCAATAGTTGAGCAAAATTCAAGTTTGAACCTGGAAAATATTGATTGTCATTTGGGCTTTCAGATATTCCAAGGTCACTGGAAATGCAACGGTTTTGAAGAGCACTCACTTTCACCAGGAAGAGTTTGAGAAATGAATACCTTTGAAGTATTTCACACGTATAAAGATAGGACTCACAACATGATATTGGTGAGATGTTGTCTTGTGTGTGTCACATTGTGTTCATCAAAAGGATTTAAAACATCCCCAATCACCATCAATATGGTGGAAAAAAGGTCAAAACTCCGCCTTGAAATACAAAATCAAATTTCATTGGGAGTTTCATAATCACTTTTTCAATCACATCACATCTTCCCTCTTGAAAATCCCAATTTTGTTCTTCAAATCACCCTGTTTTCTCCCGCTCACTCCTCAAAATTGGAAACAGTGGGGTTTATTTCTTGAACACTGCCGGAGTTTCAAATGTACATGCTCATCAAATCATACATAAAAGTGGGACTGCTGTTGTATTATATGTGAGCTACTTTATGGGATATGTTTGTTGAATGTAGCTCAGATTTTGATGTGAGTACTTTTGACACTATTTCAATTCCAATATGAAGGTTTAAGAACATGTAAAAAAAGAAACTTTGACTCTTGAGATTCCTCTTGATATAGCCACATTGATCACTTGACTTTTCAAAATAAAATCAAATAGGTAGGCCCTCACGATGTAAGTGTTGATATTATGGTATGTTGGGGGTGCCGGGCTTCCAAATGCTTTGTGACCCGGGGACTGACCGCACAGACCGCACTATATGTACAGTCCAGGTGAGTCACGAGATGGATCTTGATTCTTCCTTCATCTTAACATTCGTCTTCATTCAATCCCATCACCCTTCCCCTACGTCCATTATCTTTCTTCCCAGCATGGCTAGTACTCGATCCGGTCGAACTCGAGGTCCCCCTTCTGGTACTGGAGCAGCTTCCATGTACTCAACCAGAGCTAAACGTTCAGGCCGAGTCCTTGCATCACCTACCAGGAAGTCCACCTCGACCAAAGCGCGCTCAACCAAAACTACCATGACTAAATCAAATTATTCTACAAACCAAGCAAATGAACTATCAATCAACGAGTTCTTACCTTCAACCTCCAACAACCAGCCAACTCCTGACCCCCCCGTTTTATGGTCTCCAACGTTGGCTGAGCCTTCTGCTGCTCTTCCACAGTCTCAAACTTCATTCGATATCTCTCAAATCAATGCAACTATATCTCGAACCAATGCCACTTTGTCACCACCCATTCACAATGCTCGCAGCATACCTTCAGACTCCAACAACCAGCTAACTACTAACCCTTCCATTTTACGGTCTCCAAACTCGGCTGAGGCTTCTGTAGCCCACTCACAGCCACAAACTTCAACTGATATCTCTCAAATCAATACAACTATATCTCA